TGAATAAAAGCTTAAAACAAGGATTTCATGCACTTTTAGTTTGTTTTATTATTATTACTAAAGCTCCTTTGAAAGAAGCAAGCAACTACCCATTTATTGCAGTCTCATTGAGAAAACCTATTCAAAAATGATCAATTGATTTTCGATACGAATTATATTTGGGAAGAGTTCATCAATCACATGATTCCCCGTGTGTGCCAAATTCATACAAAAGATAAATTCTACAACTTTATTAAACTTTTTCCTGAAAATGATAGCTAATGAAAATCTCCTTTAGATAGAGCATTTTTTGAATAAACAGATCCTCAGTTGTTTGTATCAGTTCATTCCATTTCGAGAGATTTATTGTCAAATATTTGATTAATTGCCACATATAACATACATTAATTGGTATTAATTGATATGCTTAAAGAAATTTTAGAACATACTGTTATAATTTGGTTACAATTTATGTATTAAGATTAAATTGACTGGATTAAAACAGTTATTATATTAACAATTTTAAGCGATTTTTAAAGTCAAATGAGACACTATCTGCTAGTATTTTAGAAAACAAAATTTCATCAAAGGAACTCTCAAGAAGTCCATCTCTTTCATGAATTTAATGGCTTTCACCGCCGGTTAAAGAATCGGTTGAAAGTTTTCCCAACTTATAAGGTCCGGACTGTAAGAGATTTTGCCCTTTTAACATTGTTCCAATCCTGGCAATTTTTAAGCCCAAAAAACTTTTCAACCCATACCTTTCATGACTCTATCTGGTCTAAAAATAAGCAGCTGTTATTAACGGAAATGTTTCTAATGGTTATTCCATGACTTCATAACATTTCATTGCAATCATTTTCTATAAGCAAACACAAAAGACGTTGACTGAATTCATAACTTTCCAAGCGTAGGCAAATAATAATTTGTAAGCTTATAACTTCATCACCTGCCGGAATAATATCATCAAATTAAGGGAAGGGCGTCTCTAATTAAGAAAATTATTCAGCAAACAATGTTTTCGTTTGTAATTTTAAGGCGGTATAATTTATGTATTTTAACGCTGATGTTACGCTAAATACGACTGATTGTCAGTGCCAGGAATTTTACGAATCCGGTTAGATAGGATAAGTTTTTGGGTAGAAGATAACATTCAACAAGTTAATTAAACAAACCCTGTCAACCTGCTTTATTAAAGTTTTATCCGATTCCTAAACAAAAAAGTCTGATTTTCAAATCATGTGCCGCAAATGTGCTATTTTTCTATTCAGAAATTTTAAAATTCCTGCAAAATTTATAGAACATTGTATAACTTTACCATGTTTTTGTGAATGGAAACTTTACAGTTTGTGAGTTGACAATTAATGAAACACTTATTGGTCAGTCTTTTGCAAGCCACTTGCAATTAAATAACTTCTACTTGCTTCTTCAGCTCGATTCAAATAAATTTAGAAGCATGTGAGAAAGTATTACCCATAAAGATAAATAAACCAATTATAACTTGGCATAATGCTTTATCCTGGATAGCAATTGCTAATTAAGTAAAGTTCGAGCGCGAATCGATCTAAGCCTTCAATTTGTGGATCAACTGCATGCTTGCATACAAAACTGCTGCAAAGTTGAAAATTGATTGCGTTCGATTTGGGTATTGTCCTTTGTTCCTAATCCGACTAGAATCGCGAAATACGAGTGCGACATGTACTTTTTAATTTATTATATAATTTTTTAATAAAAATACATTCAGTGCATTTTTTACTGTCAGGTGTTAACCGAACATGCGGCAAAAATTCATGTTGGCCAAATTCATTCTTGGCCTATTCTAAGATTATTTTGTCCTATGAGAACTAAATTGATTTATATTCTTAGCAGTTGATTTTCCGGATTCAATATTCTCTTTTGTAAGTTATTATATTTCAATCTTTTGAATATTAAACTTGCTAATATCAGAATTTAATTGAATTGAACATAAAAATTAATATTACAAACATATAACATACAATAAATGTTTCCTTCTTTATTACCATAGATGAATATCAGCTTTTGCATGTAGTAAATCTGTGAAACAAATCGGTTTTCTATAACATTTTAGCAATACATTATGATGAAAAAGTCTTGAGACACTTTCTTGCTACTTTACAATCCATTAAAGCGCGTCGAATATATTACGTTTTAAATTTTAATATATTTTACAATATCAGTAGAAAGTTTCAAGCATGTGTTTTCATGGAGAGAATACCGGCTTCTTTCAGAACAGAGGAAGGAACTTTGTAAAGCATTGCAACCCTACCAAATAATTAATAAGCAATTTTAAAATAAATAAACTATGAGTTTTTCCTTGCGTTAAGTGATTATTTTATTGTCCGGTTTCCACAAGTTCTATTTAGTTATCTCTGAAAACAGCTGGCTCAATAATAATTAACAATTTCTTTATCTAATAAATCCGCAGTTTTGTTCGGCAGAAACACTTAGAATCTACCTAGTTTGAAAAGATTCCCAAAGCGCAGTTAAAACTTTAATTACGCCCTTAAAACTTTTGAGAAACTTGGCTGGAATACCCTCGAGACGTTTTGTTAATTATTCGAATGGATATCTTACCGGATTTTGCTACTATTTCGTGATCAAAATAGTTTTGCCTTTAAACTTTTTAAAATAAGTAATTGTTGTTTTCGCAACCATTCTATAGCTATTTTCATGGTAAAACTCCGCAGTTTTTTAATCAACTTTAAACATCCCGGTTTTATATTTAGAACCCCAGGAATTCCATTCGGCCAAGAACGAGCCTTTGTTCAATGTCCTCACTTCTTTGTAGTAGTTTCATTCTGGCACCTGGAACTATAATTTAAAAGACGATAGTAAAAGGCTTTAAAATTAATTTCTCTTTAACCATAAGTTTTATTAAACATTTTTTTTCTGCTTGAATTCATCACCACATATATTTCGCAGAAGCACAAACTTTATTATTCCAACCTAGATTTATACCGGTAAATTTGTCTTCTTTACCGTTTATTGTGCTGAATAAAAAAGAACAGCAACCACAGTAAATATTGCTTTCATTATTTCAGCAGAAACTTAGCGAATTGAATGTGTAGGTAGTAAGCGTGAATGCTTTCATTCGAATTTCTCAGTGGGTCGCACGGAAATAACGATTGCTTGTCTTTTTTCATCTGTTAATGCTCGAAATATTGTTTGCGTAAATGGAAATTAAATAGCCAAATTAAAGCACTTATGTCAGAAGATTTTGGTGGTGAATATTTTGATCACTCGGAGCTTGGGACAATCGGCATAAAATATTTATTTCAGATGCCATTTCCTCAACTGCATTACAAAATTTTCTATTGTAAATTAGATCAGTTTTTTAACATGGCTCTCACGTTCAAGTTGTTATTTAATAATTTATAGTTGGTTCCATTTTTTCATCGTTAGCCATATGAAATTCGGAGCCGTAATAAGACTGAAATGGGTCTATTGCCCTTTTGCGTAAAAAATAAAGAATTTTAGTACTACTAATATTGCTACTAATATTTTATGAAGGCTGCCTCAACCTCCAAATGATACAAAATGTTCTCGCGTTCAGAACAGTATTAACATACTCCGTTGAAATAAATTCCTTTTTTTTATTTCATTTACAATCTATACACAGGTTTTAAATTGGCGGAAAGTATTGAACTGCGGTATTTTTTTATGTACAGTTTCAGTTCAACGTTATACGTTATACAACAACGGATATACGGTTTGTATTCAGGACATTCTAATTAAATTGTAAATAAGACTAGAAAGTATAAAGAAACAATGAACATTTTTGATTGAATCTGTCTAGTAGTATTATGTTCCTATTTAACTCGGAAGTTTTCAGCAAATTGAACAAAAAGGCAGCAAACACATCCAAAATGAGTTTTCCAGTACATTATCTATGCAATGTAACACGCCTTGATCACGAATGGCTCAAAGAAAGTTTCGTAAACAACAATAACAAAGAGTACGGAAAATGTTGTTAGAATCCCTCTTGAAGAAAATGATAAAACTTTGCGCCTTTCCAATCTTTTGAAAAGTTCCAAATGCAAACACGCTTCATATGTTGTAAGAAAATAGTCTGAATATTAAAAGTTGTTGTCAACTTTCGTTCTACGGCAAGTACTTTGAAAATAATGAAATATTAAGGTTGAAACTTTCCTTGGAAATATTAGTTACTTCCGAGCCACAAGGGTATTGGAAATCAGCATTTTTTTGTTATTGTTATATTCCAAATGGAGCTGGTTCAGCTGAAAATCGGTTAATACAGATATATTCTGTTTATACATAAGTATGGCTTTTTGTAAGTAATTTGTCTTCTTTGTTGGTGGCATAAGTACAGTGATCAAAGCTTATATCAGTGTGCTAACTTATATGTAAACCGCTGCATAACTCTATTTTCTTTAGTATGTATTGTCTTGTTTCTATCTCACCATTTCCATCACAAATTCCATATGTAGATTAATTATTGGATTGATTAGGGCTTTTTTATATTTGTGTTGCTTTTTACAATGGAATACTAACATAAGAAAGGATCTGATGTTTATAATCAGCGACTGTAAAGTTGTTCTTCTAAATAATACCATCTCATGGACGTGAATCCTTAATTCTTAAAACGTGCTTAACCATTTCGTTTCGTTTCAATATCGTTCAAACTTCTTTTTAGGCCGCATAGGCATTTGCAAATATACGTAAAGAAAGGATGAATAAATCAGGTAAAGCGGTGAAATGACAAATCCCATTTTATGTAATCCCACGATCTGGAATTCTCTAGTTAGAACGGATAAAAAATTGAAATAAAACTTAGTTTTCAATTAGCAATTTCAAAGACGTATGGATGAGATATATTCAACCGTTGTTCTGTGTGATTGTTTAAAATGAATCCGACAATGTGGAGCAATTTTAAAGAAGACTTAAAACCAACTTCAACAATAATTAGATCTTGATCTGTTAACTTGTGCTTTACAATTTTAAAATGTTAAAGGGGCAAATGACTGGAGAAAAAATGAATGTTAAGATTTACAAAATTTATTTAGGATTCTAAATACTAATAGGAACATTCAACACTATACTATTACTTTGTGCTTATTATTTTCTTCAATATCCTTCTGAGATTTTAACACCATCATCTCTTCTTCGGGTTGCTTCTTCTTCTCAGGGGAATTCCATGGTTGTATCTCAGATTTTGCAAATATCACATAAAGTATTCCAGTAAAAAAGAGCCACAGAGTGGAAATCCAGAACACCTTTTGCCATTGAGTAGTTGTTTGCTATAAATTCAGAACAAATTAGTTTGTTTAAAAATGTATGAATTGTTTAAAAATTATGAAAATGTAAGATAAATTAACGGAAAGGTAAAAATAGAGTCAAAGTCATAGTGATTTGGTCTGAATTGTACATACATTTTGATAGGTAAGATATCCAACAACTGCAGGTGTCAGGAATCCTCCAATAGCTCCGGCAGTATTTAGCAAACCCAATAGAACAGCTGGAAATAGGATCATTGTTACTCAATTTGGCTCTGTTAGTTAATGTTTTTGGGTAAACGATAAGTGAAATTTTCAGCCAGCCAAATACAAACATTTGCAGACAAGCTTTTAATTGATGACCTAGTTGGTAATAATTTTGACTCGTGAAACAAAGACTGAAATTCTATGCGTTTATTATTCCCAGCATAAATTTTGGCCATTGTGAATGTAGCTGTCGAGCTTACACCTTTGGATTTGCGGCTGGCACATAGTAAATTGGTATTTATATCCTTTCTCTAACACGCTAGTGTTTCCTACATAAATATTTACTCGTACTTTGTCTAGTGTGTCTCGTCGAGTAATTATTTCCAATTAAAGTGGAAATTATGGAACGAAGCTATTCAAACGCACGGCTTATACATTAAACGTGTAATTTTGAAATAAAAATTATCTGTTAAGACACAAAAAAATCATTTATCAAAACGATAACTAAAAATACGAACACTTTAAGCATGGCTAATTAAAATTGACGTCCTAGGTTATAAATTGTGCATGAACTGGGAAAAACTGTAGAATTTAAAGATACTCTTTTAACTCTCGTCAAGGTTGAAGCCACTTTTACTGAACTTGCATTTTGGATCATCCTTGTTTATGTTAACGGACACAATTTTTAAAATTGGTTTTTTTCTAACTTTTTGCAGGCAAATGCTCGACGCTCTATTTCCATTCATATTTGTTATAACACATTTTAAACTAATTTGCATAAATCAACTAATTATACATTGAAAAATATTATTCGGCCACTAGAGGTATATTTTGTAAATAATGTAAAGTTTCTAAATTAGCGGTTAAACAAAACAATTGATGTGCTCTAATATCTCTAAATTAACTGTTCGTAAGTGGCAATTTATGATTAATGTAATGATAATGAATTAACACTTTCAAGGGACCATTACTAGCCATATTAATTAATTAATTTGGTAATATGCAATAAGGAAAAAAATAATTAGCTGCGGACTGTATTACAATTTGGTGGTTATTCTAGATATATTAGCACATTGCGGTTTTGTGAAGCGTCACCTTTGCGTGATTAAAAAAAATATGAGAAAATTTAGTAGATTTTTCAATAAAATACTTTATTTCAGAATCGTTTGTGGTTAAATCTTATCTATAATTCGGTAATGAATGAATAGGAATTCAATTAGAGACTCGAAAATGACTGCATCCTTGTCAATATCAATTGCCATACATACTGAAAGAGTCACCTATCATCAATCTAATATGTTTCAAGAATATTTGCTACGTAGAGCCCGAGAAATAACTCCATTTCGATTAGTATAGCCGATAGCTGCAATTGTGTTATTTTGGATAATTGAACGATCCTTATTTATATCATGACGCCAACTAAACGATCAATTTTAGTTCCTCTTTTTCATGCAACCGAACCCAATTTACTAAAGGGTCTGTAGGCGGGTTTGATTAAGAGTCAATCTGCAGTAATAAATTACGGAGCTCTAATATTCAGACGCTTTACAGCCAATACTTATTATGGATTATTTTGTTCGCTGAAATGCCCATTTATTTAAAAAAATTAGGTAATTATTTATTAGTAAATTCTGAGTAGTATCAAAAGAGAGACCCTGAAAAATGTATAGTGTTTTACTTCATCCTAGATGAGTAATGTTTTAAATAATACAGTAATCAAATGCAGACATTATCGTTTACATTTCAAATGCAAATATAGATTAATTTAAGACGTTTTACATTTTCGTTGGCGTTCACTAGTTTGCTGCTAAATCATGGTTTAAACGACTTTCAGGGATAATTAAGCTGCATCTAATCAAATCAGGGATGCAATTTACATGATGTCGAACATTCGAAGACATGCCATCTTATTAAGCGAATTAATCTGAAATGCACTTCAATCTAGGCATCTTTGACCGACTTTCTTTACTCGTTCTATGTATCATTGATATTTCAACGCGTATTGCTTGGTGTTTCTTAAGCTAGTCTAACTTATGGTCGATTGATTGCCTTGAAGGGTGCTAAGTAAGAATTCTACTCCACCTATTTTATGATCTTTAGGTGATAAACGTAGGATTGTTATTCTAAATCAACACCACGATAACTTTCTCTTCACGTCGGAAACGTCTGGTTATATTACTGGACAGTTATACACATTTTTACATAGTTCTGAGGTGTTCCGTTCTCAAAGTTAACTTTAGAATTATTCTTTTAAATCCACTACTTCAGTTCATTCTAAATATACTCTCGTCATGTCTGTTGAATGATTTTGAGAATATGATATTGTTCTTGTCTTAAAATGGCGCTTAACAAAAATATTTTTAGCTGTTGAGGTAAACATTGATTGTCGGTGTCGTGATCCCGTCTTGTCCAATTGTTAAAAATGTCCAAAGATTTAAAAAATTAAACCGACAACAATAAAGAAATAAAGAAGAAATAAGAATTTATTAATTTAAGCTATTTAACGTTTTTGCAAAATTATCATATTATTTTAAGCGTTAGTCAAATTCAATAAGGAATACACATTTTAATCTTCAATTTAGCATAATTAGCATAATTATTGTAAAAGATGTTTAAAATTCAACTGACCTAAAATAATAATGTATCGTTTCCAGAACTGGGGCTACAGCGTCACTTGGAAATCGGCTTAAGTAATTGGTCTATTTAAATTTAATTATCATAATATGAAAGCCGAATTTACCATTGATTTTCACTTTTCTACAGACTTTGCTTACCAGCAAATTCAATAATCACAGAATGCTAAATGAATATTGTTTAAATTGGCATGCTTTTAATTAAATTATTTTAAGCTTATGGCTAATACCAAAATCAGCCAATGTTTCCAAACGGATTTTGTTCCAAATTGATGATTGGTATTATCAAACATATTTATTTTATTGACTGTTTAAAATCAAGCTTAGTTTCATATTTAAGTAGAATGATGCCCACTTTTTACTGCTGAGTATGTTTAACGTCACTTATGTGTTCAACCGCATAAGCTCAAGTTAAAAAAATTGCTACTGACCTGCATAATTAGGGCTTATGTCCACTACACTAGCTAGTGGACCTGTTGAAACGGATCCATGCATTCCTACTGCCAATGTTAACGATATAATGGCCATCATGGAATTACATCCAGAATAGGCCAATGCGAGCATAAACATTCCTTGACCGATACAACCTGAAAAATAAAACTTTATCTTTAGAATGGAGGAATGGAAACTGTGTTTAGAAAAATTTAAGACCTTCTTCTACTATTTTCTATAGTCTATTTTCCTAACATCATACAGAAAGGAATTGTAAAAGAAATAAGCAAGGACGAAGTTGTTTTACGTATTTCCTTATTCGAAAACACGAAGATTTGCTTCTAGCCTAGTAGTGAAAATAGGGTTATTTCAATAAAATGAATATTTTCCTTTAAAGAATATAATAGAGTTTTTTTCCGAAAATAGAAATTCGAATTTGTGTCATGCATTCTAGAAATTTCAATAGAAACCCATGAGTAGGTTTCTGCAACAATAATGTTTGTCAGTACTATTACACGTGAATGGCTTGATAGTTTTCCCAGTTGAATTTAAAATTCTTGGAATATTGTAAAAAAATGTAACATTCTAGGGCAAGGTTCATTTTCGCATGGCTAGCTGGAACTCGGCTAGTTTCAGGCGCTTTTCATTGTTCTAATTTTACAACTTTTCCGGGCGTTGCTCGGTTTGCCTGAGTTCAGAAGTATCTATAAACAAATATCGTTAAAAAAACGATACTGCATTTGGGAATATAGCTATTGCGCATAGATATACATACTAAAATGAGGGAAATTGAGAAACATCTAAGACAGAAATTAACTTGGTTTCCTGCTAAAAGCTTTCGCCTGGGGATATTGTTCTCGCTTAAATACAACTAAGCCTAATTCAAACAATGTTCCTGACTCTGGCTTCGAGTAGTTCCTTGCTGAAGTTGTCGAGCTCATTTTATTGATACATGCAAACATTCTATTTTATATCTATTTCGATCGTATTTACGTTTAAAATCTTACTATGGGATTTGCCAAAACATAATCTCCCAAACGCAACCTTTCAATTTCGAATGAATATTTTATGGACATCGCAGTTTGAAAGAGGATTTTTCGAAGGACGCAATATTTTATGACTCGATTTTATGAATCTGAAAAAGTTGCAAATTCGGTTACCATGAGTTGAAAATGGATTTCTTGGTTATTGTGTTGAGATTTAATATCGCAATGCTCAATCTTGGTAGTATTTGTATTTTAGGTATATGGCGGAAGTATTTCTGTTTCCCAAATGTTTTATACTTGTGAATATTCTTTTATCCCGTGCATTTTATAACTGAGAATATTGGCAAAATATATTTGGACATGTTCCAAGAATGTGAACTTTAGATTATTTTTATTCTGAGCGGAGCGTTTTTGCGGTAATGATACAATAAAGAACTGTCCATGACATACTCAAATAATTATTAGGAAGAAAAATTTAGAGTTGAAAATTCAAGAACTATTTTGCAAACTGCGCAATTTGAGGAAATTACTCTTCAGTTTCAATCATCTAAAGTCTAAAGGGTGGAAGTGTTCTGCTTTGTTAAAGCAGATAAGGCAAGAAATATGGCTTGCTTTTGTTCTTAGAACTGCGAACATTAATAATTCCTTGTGAAGTTACAAGCAAGACGTGACGAAATACGCGAAAGCTAAATAGGGGCAAACTAATACTTTTGTATACATAATGATATTTACTTTGCTTAATGAACAGGTGTAAACGACTTTGCAAACTATGGTATGATTTACGTTTTGCAAGTTTTCATGCTCAACCATCGCTTTCAGGAAAACTCACTAAGGGCGGAAATTTAAGATTATTGTCGCTACCATTGTTGAAAAGTATGCTCAATTTTCATCGTCGTTTAAACTGGCGTAATACAAATAACTTTACATTCAAAGTGAAGTTGCAATGCAGAATCTTGTATTTTAGCCACTCTCAGATTTAAACCTTCAATTTAAAATGGGGCAAATCTGTTTATGTCTGAAGAATACTCGTGTCTAGTTTACTACGATATTGGATATGTCTTAATGGGCAATACAATTGTTTCTTTAAATTAGAAACTATTCCAGTTCCTGGATTTTTTTGAACTTAAGAGACTAAGTATCTAAGAGTCCATCTAGAAATCTCTCAATAAGAACAAAAATACGAAAGGCGTTGATTTGATTACGAGAAAACAAATCAACTCTTCTTGCTTTTGTTCTTTATATGCGTATGAAAAATATATTAAAAACTAATATCTCTTTCTTCTCTTCTTTGTTCTATCAATTAATCACTTCAATTCTTCATTGCTACTAGCATTATTATTGAATAAATGGTAATTAACACAAATTATGCATAATCTTGCTTGAGCAGCTATCAGTTACCATTTATTTACTTACAAATTGCTGTGGCGAGCTTCCTAACATTGGTCCTGCTCATTTTATTGGTGCTCATTAGGTAATCTCCAATTTGGGAAAAGATGTAGGCAAATAACATCCTCAACATATGAGGAAGTCCAGATAAAACACCAGTCTGAAAAGCAATATTAACTAATCAGAAATGTATGCATTACCGCAATGTCATTAAAAAAAACAATTAATTTAGTAGGTAGGAGGTTTTATTTTGACCCTCCGTTTATAAATGCTTTTTTTAGTAGAATAGTTGGGAAATTGATGATTATCGGGGGTAATTGCACAAGTGCTTCAAAATTACCGATAATTTTGCATGAAAGCTTGTTGTCTAAAAACTGCATGAGTTTATTTCCATATTGTGGCGAAAAAGCCCGACTCCGAAGGAGGAGGGCTTTTTCCTTCCAATGTAAAAATAAACGAATACAGTTTTTACAAGACAACAAGCTCGAATGCAAAATTATCTGTTTATTTTGATGCACGAGTGTAATTTTGATGAATATATCC